ACAGGAAAATAAAAGTCAGAACTCTCTGCAGGAAATCAGGATCAGTGCATGGATACTTCAGATTATATTTTGCTTTTTTACTTACCATGCATGAAGGGGCTTTTCTGCAGCTAGCGTTGCTCTGCTTATCAGGGACGGGCTGTAATTGTCGAGCGCAGCCCCCTCCTCGTCGTTAGTTTGAGGGATAGTGCAACAGATTTCCTGTGACATTTCTCACAGGCCAAACATGCAGGTGTCTGGGCAGCGACTAAGGAAAAAAAAATAGAATTGGACATAATGAAAAAAAAAACATAACAAAAATGCACATGGAAAGTGAGGTCAATGCTCAGCCTCAGTGCTAATCCTGACAATGCACTCTTTACACGTATGAAGCTGTTGCCCTGTAAGTGCCTACCTTTAATGACGATTCGCTTGCTAACCAAAGTCCCTTGCGAGTCATCACCGGCAGCTCATTAGCACTATGCTAAGCTAATGGATCAGTAAATGGATTTTTATGTGGGCATAAATGCTAATTCGCTACACCGCTGCACTGTTCAACAATGCCGTGTTTAGCAAGTCAGTCGCAGCCTCTGGGGTGTGTTTGTGTCTCATTAGGCTTGGCCGGGGATCCATTGTGGACGGGGAGAACTCAGTGGAAAGAAACAGAAATACAATGATGAGAGGCCTGCAGTGCTGAAACACTTGTTCATCCTGCACCTGAAGGTTTTATTGAAGAGGGGAAAGACATCTCTTTTTCCATTTTTTTTTTTTAAAGCAGCAAAACCGAGGCAGAACCGATCCTTTGCCAGATATTATTATTAATATTATTATTATTATTATCATTATTATTATTATTATTATTATTATGTTGCCTGATGGTTGACACAGACTGAAGCTGCTGGATATTTTTCTTGAGCAGGTGAATGACTCAGATATAAAGATCTATTCTGTTCCCACACCACCATTATTCCAAGATTATTAACATTTACTGTCTGTCTTCAACACCTATACGCACATCTGTCCTTTTCTATGAAGCACATATCTATTTAAACATCACATTGATCATGTTCTACGCGAAGTTAATTTTGGAACCAGAGAACTTGCATCATATATTTATATTATACTACAATTTTTTCACTTTTGGCTATTTATTGAAACGCATCTGAAACTAAACTCCTACCACTCAGTAGAGCATACCACCATCAGTACCACTTCACAATAAGACTACCCTTATAAAGGATTTATAAATGGTTTAGAATTAGGTTATTAATTCAGTTGTTCACACTTAAATATATCAAAAATAAACAAGTTATAACACAGTTTTCATACATCATCATTATTTGGCAAAATCAAGTTATTGTTTACTACTCATTAATCTAACTAATGATTTACTAGTATTGATAACTGGTAAAAGGAGCCTTATGTGTATATTTATACACAATATCTGATGCCTACATGCAGTAACGTATCCTAACCATCATAAGATTTTCTACAACCCTTTAAAATACAGAATGTTCTCCTCTAACAAACGTGACAAGCTCCATCAAACAATGATCATAATTACATCAGGTATCATCACTGCACATGCTCTTATTTTGAAGATTCTTCCTCCAACCAGAATACACAGAGTGTGGTTATGTCTTACCATAGCACCTTCATGACAGCTCATCGTCTGCTTCTGGTGAAGTAACTGAGGGTTTGTTGTTGTTGATATCCGGCCATCCAACACACTGCACTGCACTGCACCACAGATGGCAGGGGGGGCAGGATACCACCGTCGTTACCGTCCATTTGTCGATCCAAACAGCAACCTGCATTTAAAAACCCTGAGACAGCAACACAAGACATTCAAAATGGAAGGAAGCAGCGGCAGGGCCTTGTTGAGAGAACATCTCTAACTGAGTGGGAGTGGAGTGGGAAAACTGGCTCGGCAGCAGCCACAGAAAAACACACGTCTCTTCTTCCTCTTCGTGACGTCGTACCTATTTCTACCGTTTCTTAAAGACTAATGAGGAGGTGGTTTCCTGCAAAGAACTACGGACTACATGTTGTGAGATATTTATCCAGAGATAAGTCATTTGTACTGAGTTTATCTGCAAATGTTGGTTTCACGAGGGGTTTCTTTTTAAACGCGTGTAAAACATATTCATAACTAATTTATTATTGGAAACGTAACTGTCCATATATACTTAAATGTATGGAGGGTTAAAGAAAGAGTTACAGAAAACTTTGCGATGTTGTGAGTTGACTTGACTTGATTATGTACAACATTTGTCTCATTATAAAACAGTTTAATCACTATAACATTAGATTTAATTGCAATAGACAAATGTATAACTACTGTATATTGTCATTTTTGATGCACTCCACACCTGCACTTGGTGTGTTATTCTTCAATAACCACACACCCCAGTGTGAATCATCCCTCACATCAAAGCCTTTGTGATACGCTGCTGTATAAAATGCATTCTTCAGAAAACTGCATTATAATACGTCATAAACATGGGCCTCAAAGAAAGTGTTACTCAATTTCTTTTTAGTCCGCACAAGAAAATCTTTTTCTTTTTCCAGTTTGTCTCAGATGTTGTTGCTTTGTCATATTTGAGAAATAATTGGCCTGCACTTTTGTAGTTTTCACCCAAAGCCTCTTTCAAATAAGGACACTGTGAAATAAAAGGAGCATTTATACATAGACCAGTTGAGGAGCACTGAAGGCTTTTATAGCCCTGTCAATTTAAGAGCACTCCTTCAGCTCGGGGCCCTGAAGTCCCCTCACCGCACTGCATCAGAGCTCCAGGGTCAGCGGCTCAGTGCTCCAACTTGCTGTTATGACTGTCTACCTGCTGTTCTGACATCCTTTAGATCACTTCACCAGTAGAGGAGGAGGAGGCTTGTTCTTTTTTTTTTTTTTTTAGCTCTTTCTAAAAGATCTGGCGGCCACTGCCCTGCTGAGTTTGACTGCAGGAGCGTTTCCTGCATTAAAGGTGGATCAAATCAAAGTGACGATTTATTTACGGTGAGTGCGAACCAAAGAAGCGATAAGTGAAGGCGGCATGAAATCAAAGGTATGGGATCAGGTGGAAATTGGTATTTTTTCACTACACAAACCACTGTTAACCTGGAAAATGCACATGCACACACACACACACACACACACACACACACACACACACACACACCAAATACATGCTCCACAGAGCGCACACTCTTTATATCGTCAAATGCATACATTAAGATGGAGGTGTACAGGAAGCAGAAACATTAACAGGAACACCTGTACAATACAATGCACTCTATTGTAATCACCCTGCAACAAACACTAGATTACTGTGGCTTGTCTTGTATTGTGATACTTGGATTGTGTTTTATTTTAATTCTGTGTTTTGAAATATCTTACTGATGTTCATGTTATTCCGTCCTCCTTTTCTTTAACTGCTTTTCTCCTTTCCTTTTGGGACAGTGGTCTCTGCAAACGACACTTCCTGCTGACCACCAAAACACTTCACATGAAAATAGACAAAGGATTCTGAACTGCATTTAATCACACATAAATTGATTTTAATTACAGAATTTAACTTATGTGACATACTTTAGATCTTTCCCCCGGTTTCAATAATATTCCCCCCCAATATAAATATCTCTATGTACTCAAGAAAAGACAAGAAAGAAAAAGAAAAAGAAAAATGCAAACACGGGAGTCATCTGCGAAGATTCAAATGGAATCCAACATCTGTAAAATCACAAATGCTTCTTTTTGCCAGACGGTGAGCTCAGGTCTGGGCGTGTCCCAAAAATATACAAGAGTATGAATAATGCATCGGATATGACTTATTTCACAGTGTATCTCTGCATGGGCACACACACACACACACACTCACACAGGCACACACACTCACATTTTCACACATGGACAGATGCAAATGTACACACACACACACACACACACACACACACACACACACACACACACACACACACACACACACACACACAAAGTATAGACCATTAAAATGAGCCAGGGGTCCGTATCTGCTAATTGCTCCCGGTGGTGTGTACAAGATGTGCAAGGTTCATTGACAAAAACTACTCTTCTAGTCTATGTTGGCACCACATTAAAAAAAACAAAACAACAAAAATAAAACATAAGTTATAAGCTTATTCATCCAAAACGTCCACATTTCACCATCACGACTTTCATTCACCGAGGAAGGACAGTCAACTCGTCTGTGTCGTCCCTTCTGTGACATTCCAATAGACTTTCATGCTTTTATTTTTTATTTTTTTATCCCCCCACCGTCCCCATTGTCCACACTGTGTAGCTACTGTACGCAGAGATTTTTTTTGGAGGCTTCGACCTTGTAAAGTTTCACCCCCGCCGAATGAGAGGAAGGTGTTTGAGAGTCCAACGGACGACGCGGCCTGGGCTCAGCCTCAGTGTTAAAGACACCGCTCTTTAGCGGCGAGCGTGTCATTAAAGAAACTTGGCAGGGATACAAACCCCCGGACAGCTTCACAGCCGTGACAGTAAAGAAGATGAAGGGGCTGACTTTTGAAAGACCTTCTGACAAAGTCTAAATCAAGCCACAAAGGTACAAAAAAAAAAGAAAAAAATCTTCAAGGAGCCGTCCCCTGCAGACCAGACGGTGGCTAACCAAAAAACCAAAAAACAAAAGGTACAGTACTTCAATGAATATTCCGCTGCCCTGTTCAAAACTGTTCCTTACAGGGATTTTCTTCTATGATGTGTCCGTGAATTTGACTGCGGTAAAGATTCAATGCCGATGGTGTACCATGCTGCTCGCTTGAGACTTCTCAGAGTTCTCAGAAGCGTCTGCCGAGAGTCTTTCGCTGTGGTGACTGGAGAAGCTCGGGGTCATTTTTTTTTTCATTTATCTATTTAGTTTATTTTTTCTTTTCTTTTTTTTTTTTTAAATGTATTTTTTTTTTAATTTTTTTTTTTACAGAAGGTCAGGTCCGGTGTAAAGTTTTGGAGTCTCGTCGGTGAATGGACACAATGTTTGGTTGTAGTGACTGGCATCGGTTCCTTCTTTGAATCCCGTCAAAGAGCCTGTCGAGGAATGGAAGAAAAAGGTAAATTACGACTCAGAAGACACGGCTGTTTCATAAGCATGAGGCGGTTTCATGTTAAAGTTATGACAGCAGTCTCAGTGGGTCAAATGTAGAGCGACATCTTCTATAACACGACACCAAACTGAAAACTGTCCCATTAGCATTCAGGCTACGGCAGCACAAACAAGGTTAAATATGCACAGAGATTAATTGCATGTCTTCCCCTCTACTTAAGAGTAGCATAATAAATTTGTTGACTCGCTTAATTATCATTTCTTCTGCACAAACAAAACAAGAATGTCTTGTTTTTTAATCATGTAGATCAAGGGTCTCCAACCTTTTTTGTTTTTCACTCTGAGAGCTACCAAACAAAAGGGGCTGAGAGCTCCTCCTCCTCCTCGTGTCTGATATCACTGGTTACACTTATTCACATATCACTCTCCAAAGTCATCGAATGTCCAGTATCCCAAAACTGAGTCATGATTCAGTGAAACCTGAACACGAAGACACGATAACGCCGCTGCAAATAAATGTTCACGAATCGTGTCAGTGCATCCAATGGCACATAACAACCAGGAGCTTAAAATGGCTGATTCGGTCATTTACTAAAGATCTAAACAAACACAGGTTGGAAATAAATAAATCATTTAGTTAATAAATAAAAAAGCAGGGCTCAAATTCAGGCCCAGGCATCATTTGATTAGAAGTCTTTCCGACGTGGGGTGTAATTGTTCGACTTTATTGTTCTTTTCTAACTTGCATTATGAGCGTTTCAGTCATCATCTTATCGTCTACCTGGCTGTGTATCTTAATGTATATTCAAAAGCATTTAAATTTACACTCTGATCACTGTTATATACCCATCCGAATGTGTATTTATTGTATTTCTGTTATTTATTTTATTTTTCACTGTACTCAGGTCTCACTTGTAAATGAGATCTTGATCTCAATGTAACTTCCTGATTAAATAAATATATATATATATATATATATGTAGATCCAAGAAGCACTTCACCTTAATTAACCACAATATTGGGCAAAGGAACAGCAGTTATAAACAGACCAGCAGCCCCCTCCCTGTATTTTCAATCGTCACCTGTGCCAAGTCCAAAAAAACAGCATGTGAGCAAATTGAGAATTAAATGAAAGTCCCAAATCAACATCTTATCACTCTGCGCTTGTTCACCAGTAACAGGATTTTGGCAGATTTCCCCTTTAACTCTAAATCTAATGAATGATGAAACTGATGAGAAATATTATGAGGGGCTTCAGCTGTGAGACGGAGAGTGCCTCACGCTCGTGATGGTCATCGATTAATGCTCCAGCAGCAGCCGTCACTAATGCAGCCTGTGAAATGACTGAAAAAGCTCCCTGCCGGTGACAGCGCTGCCATTCATACCTTTGTTGCAGGAAGGTTCCAAATATAGTTCGAGCTCTGCTTCCATTCAACTCTGAATAACGCTGGAAATTAATGTAATGGACACGTCTGAATGGAAAAACAGCCATTACTTACAACAGATTGTTAAAAACCAGCAATTTCATGTCTTCCAGATCTGAAACGGGGCTTCATTTGAGGACAGTCCTCAAAGCTCTTCTTTCAAACGTCGAACAAAGCATATTTTATTAAGAATTAAAAGAAAAACAGGGATGGATCTATAAGTGTATGTACTAATATATTCCTTTCCACATAGAATACATTTCACCTCCAGTGAAATTCTCCAGTTAATGACTTAATTTAGCCAATCATTTGATCAAGAAACCCATTTGAATGATAATAGAACTCTGCCATGAATATGTTATATGGATAAATCCATAAATGTTAATACATAAATGATTCAGGGTGACAGTGGACAAATGTGACACCCAGGACTGCCCATATAAATCATTCAGACACTTAAATATGAGTTGGCAAATCCACACAGAATTGCACAAATTCCCAGGACTGGCAAATAAATATTTATGACGCCCCCAATTCCCCTCTTCTCCCTGTCCTTGGTAATTGTGCGTGATTCATTTTGTTTTCTCGGTGGAAGAGGGAAAATCAATCTCAGAATATTGGCTAGGAGACATAAAGCATGCAGATTCCAAATGCCTGTGGTTTTTGCAGAATATAAAAGATACTCAGTCAGTGTTCTCGGGAGGGGGATTCAGTTTAATCTTTAGTAGATTTCCTTGTTTTGTTTTTTTTTTTAGAGAAGAGAAAGATGTTTGTGGAAGTGAAGTTCACCTGCCTGCAGAGTCAGGCTAACCTGCTCCTGACTGCCTGACTTTTAATAAGCAGACATCCACTCGGAGCGATGCGAGGCAGGCAGCCAACATTTTAACACTGATTTTTTTGAACATGTAGCTTTTGCTTTTCAGTTATCACTGTTCTCAAAAACAGCCTCCCAAAAATATCAGTTTTCTGCCTTTGTCATAAAAGACAGCCGGGACACTTGAAGTGACCTCTGCCTTTGATGTAACCACACTGCAGCTTTTTAGTTTCCACCCTTACGCATTTGCACAAATCCAATAACCCCCTTTGATTTCTCTTCTTTCTTTCTTTTTTTTGCATAGATACATCAAAGTGACTGCATCCTGAGAAATGGCAGATACCATTGTGTCTTCTCCAAGACCTGCATGACCTTTATTTACGCTCAGTGGTGACAGTGGTAGGCTGCTGCAGAAACACTTGATGAATACACAGTAATGGCTGATTCAATGCAGGTCTGAGCAGCACTGAAGCTTAATGCATCTTTAGGATGGAGGCATGGACTCTGCTGCTCGTTACATTTCCCCTTTAAAAGTTTTAATTTCTGCTTTCGACAGGGTGCAGCGATCAAAAAGCCTTTGGTTTGCGTACATGTCAGATTGAGCTGAACTCAGGTTGTACACTCGGCATGCAAATTTGAAATATAATACATCATTAAAAACTCACATACCTGCTGTTTTCCCTCTGCATTCCTACGACGGCTCCTTGGGCAAAGGCTGGAAAAGAAAAGCAGAAGGTCAGCGTCAGCGGAGCAGAGGGCCAGCCTTCACCAACGTTTTAGTCAACCTTCCTTAAGCACATTGGCCTTGGACGCAGAGCAGCATATGTCCATTTAAAAAGCACAGATGGCGTGTCTTCCAATTATATCTAAGGCGAGATGAAAGAAGATGAAGGTTATTTTGTTCTCCCCCAGTTTTTATGACCTCAGAGAACACCGCTCCTCTCCTCGACCGGAAGATACGAGCGAGTAATGGCCACCTCATTCCGCGTTAACGAGTGAGAGACATTTCCTTTCTCCCATCAATGGCATCACACAGATAGAAATTTTTTTTTTATCACATTAGCTGTAGGGCAGGGTGATAAACAGTGTTCCACTTTGTTTCTCTGTGAACAACAACTTCTTGCCTCCTACATTCGTCTTTAGGAGACCACATGACAACAACGCTGTTTTTCCCCTTGACCGGAGGAAGGAAACAGCTTCCCTTTGCCTTCTTAATATTGGTGAATGAGCCACTTTTGTGCAGATAATGACTCTGCTAATCATAATCAGGAAGCTAATGGTCTGTTTAGCCAATCAGAGGAGCCAAGGCGAGACGGCTGTCTGGGCACCGCATTGGCATTCCCAGCAGTCCCCTGCTCTCCTCTCGGCTGTGCCAGGCTTTCTGCAGCAGCGAGGCGGACTTGATATTCCGCTGCCCACCCAGCCTGACGTCCTGCGATCTGTCGCTCTGTCTGTCTGTCTGTCTGTCTGTCCGTCTGTCCGACCGGTCGACCGACTGCGGCGCTCTCGAGGAAATTCAGTCCTCTGAAGAGGCGCTGATCCATCACACCTCTCCAGCAGCATGTCATCTAAATGCTAAGTACTTCCACTGCATCTTTAAATCAAAACAAGAAAAGAAATGAGCGCAGGGGCGAGCGGTTGGAAGGGATAAAAGCTTATAAGGGGCACAATAGAATCTGCAGAGCAAACCCTTAGCTTTTTTTTTTGATTACATTCATTTTCGACTGCGAGGAAAATGTGGAAGCCACTGGGTGAGAGGAATGTGCATGAGGAACCCAGAGACTTCTCATCCCTTCAAATGTACACAGAAAAAAAAAAAGAAAAAAGGGAAGGGATAGTTATTGGTACACTGGCCCCAAAAAGGTTCCTTCAAAGAAAAGAGTGTGTTGTTTGATTTCTCCCCAAAAAAGCATCATGAAAGCACCTGATGCTGCAGAACCTCTCCCCTCTCCCTCAGTCCAACTCTTCGCTATCGATTCGGAGGGATTCCTGAACTCGGAGCAGAGTGCTGAGGCGGCAGAAGCGGGCCGGCGCTATTAACTGCTCCGACTAATTAAAAGGGTAATAAGGTGAGTTCGGCCCCCATCGGGACGAGCTGTGCAGGAGAGGGAGCCGGCTGTTGTGCCTGGCCGTGCACACCGGTAAACAGCGCTCGCCACCTCTGGTGTTTACGCGACGCGAATCCAAGGACGTTGAAGACATATTCATCTCCCGCTGGCACGGAGGGTGAGGGAGATGCACAGATAAGGAGCTAGAGAGAGACAGGAGGGTGGGAACACGCTAATAAGAGCTTTGCCGATTGGTTGTGTTGTGGTGAAATTGAAACCTTTTGGACGTTGTCTCTGAGCTCGGGGTGTCCTCGTTTCATCATCACTTGTAAACACCGAGCACTGTGCATAAATGATAAAGTTTCGCAGTTCAAATGAGGTGCATAGCCTGGATCTTTGAGCGAGTGCCAGTGGAGATTGGCAAAAATATTAAGGGATTCAATTAACTTCCTTCCTTATCATCAACACAGCATATTTTAGGATCAAAGCATTTTTTAAGATACAGTACACTTTCCATTTCACAAATAAAATCCTCAGCCAAGCTAACATTACAACCCCAGAAATGTTTGTAGCCGAGGGGGGAAACCACTGCAGGTACAGCAGACGGCTTGTTTTCTCTGCGCTCAGGGGGGAAACAAAGCGGAGGCTGTGTGTTTGGTGGCACTTCAGGCTGCAAAAATCTCACCAGCAGCCCACCCAGCCACTATGGAGACAGGCGCTGTGCCTTCACTGCAGTAAGTAAGAATCTGTCCCCCGGGGGCTCTCCCTTAACAAGTGGACTCCTCTGCACAGGACTTAGTTGGTTGGTTTCATCAACTGGAGACTCATAGAGGTCCCGGTCATCAGCGGCCACTCCAGCTGCTGTTGTTATTAGGCTAACAAGCACAGCCACTGCTCTATACTGAAGACCCTGAGTGGATGCTTCATGCCCAGACTATGAGTCTGATGCACAGAAGCATCAGAGCATCAAACCCAGGACTATGTCTGAGGGATAAAACCAACACTGGCTGCGAAGCATCTGTTTGCATTTGCTGCTTTATTTCTTGAAAGGCAGAAAGCATCTCTTGTCCAGATTTCACATCTTTTACTGAGGTAAAAGCCATAGTCTCATAATATATTACTACTAACTGATTCGCTTTTTAAACCTCCTGAGAAAAATATCTGAATCTTTAGCTGCTAAATCAGAATCAGAATCTGTTTTATTCCCAAATAGGTTTTCAACAAACGAGGAATTTGCTTTGGTGTTTTGGTGCAAAACAATAAACATAGTATGAAGAATAAACAAAGATAAAATAAGCAATTACTGCAGGTCAGATAGCTTGAACATAAATAGTAAAATGTAAACTTAAAATTAAATATTTACAAAAAAAATGTGAAGTAATCTTACAGAAAATATAAATATAATACAAATATGTTCTTGTGGCGAGAGGTTTTGGTCCGTGACAGCGAAGGATATCAAAAGCATAGCAAACAGCTAGCAGCTAACTGCATCTGTGTGCTGTTTGGACTGGGCATGCCTGCTGTGGCTTTAAAAGGGAATTTGTGAGGCTCTAATCAAAAAACAAGCAGCTGAAAGAGGCTCAAAAGAGATTTAAAAGCTGGTAACTGAAGGGAAATCACAAAGCTGAGTGATCGATCTTTGTTTGTGAGACCTGTCACGTTACACACAGTCATCCCATCCACTGCTGATTGAAAGAGTTGATGTAGTGCAGCTTTAACTACAAATCACATGTAATTTTCACTAATTTTACTTTTACTACTTTCCATGCTAATTGTTAAAGTGAACATCAAGTCTGCATTAATACCACCTCAAACCGCTAATATAACTTTGACAAAAATGGATTCAGACTTGACGTTCATAACACAAATCAAACACGTCTCGACACACGTATTGACTTTTATACTGAAGGAAGAACCAAACATCTGGAATGGAAGCTAAGTTGCACAGCAGCATGAATTGCAAAACGGCTAACTGTGGCGTGTATGTGAAGTGTAGTAAATTGGGTATTTATTTATTTTATATTATTATCATCGATGCATTCACATGAGAGCAGATGGTTTAATCTATGAACAATGCATTATAATTTAACAGCGGATCGTTTGTTTTGTTTATTAAGTCTTAATCTGCACAATAAATAGCATTTACAGCAGTCACATAAAAACTGTGGAATTAAGAACATTTGGTCAAGTCGGTTTTATTTATGAGCCCCGATGTACGGTGGCCCTGAAGGGTGGGTGTCCCCTGGAAACGCTTCCGTTGTGTTGTGAGTATTTCTGCAGGACGTGTGCGTTGTCAAATTGATGAAGATGTTTTCTGAATTTGTCGTGTGTTTTGAACTCTCAGGGCCACCGTACCAATATCTCAAAACATACATTTGTGCATTTGTGATATTGGGCCCCTTTAAAAAAAACAAAAAACCCTCACCTCGCATAAGGAAAAACAGATTTGATAAACGTGTATTAATCTGAAAATAGTGACTCCAAAACAATCCTATGAAATTTAATGTAGCACAAGTATACAGTAGCAAAAAGAGAAAAGGCATAGAGAAGAAAAAGCTCCAAAGGGCACAAAAGGCATTGGGGCTTTGAAATAGGATGCGGCTGATCCTCGTTTGAATGTGTCCAGTCCATAAAAAGGCTTTCTGCATTAGTTATTACAACAACAAAAAAAAAACAAAAACCAAAAACACAAACCCTGTGTTGAAATGTGGCCTATGGCTCTGACAATTTCCACAGCAGACGAGGCTCTGGAGACGAGCGGTGTGCAGGGTAAAACACAAATGGCAGTTCAAAGCCTGGCGATGACAGAACTTCAAATAGGGGAGCTGGGTAAAGTGTGCTGAAAGTGACAGCAGAAGGGACCACATTCATTCGTGGTCTCAGACACACACAGAGAGAGTGTGTGTGTGTGTGTGTGTGTAGTGTAGTGTGTGTGTGGGGTGGGGGGATGGGGGGGGGAACTATATGCCTGGTGAAGTCAAACTGAAAAAATAAGTCTTTTAATAGATGATGGCAGCACCAGAGGAAACAAAAAAAAAAACAAACAAAAAAAACAATGTGTTGCTGCTTTAAACCCTGTCAATGACAACCAAAGGAAAGATCAGATCCTCTAAATGAAATCACGAGGCTTCCTGCGGCAACACGTGTTCAATAACACAACATCAACGATAACGCGAACGAAAAGGGGGGAAATGGAAGGGTCGGCTTGGTTTAGCAATTTCTCTCTCTCTCTCTCTCTCTCTCTCTGAACGTCTCTATCAATCTAACCTATTTCAATATATTTTCTGCATCAGTCCACACGCTATCTCCTCAAGACCGATGATCATGCCACAGCACTCTGACAAACAGATGAGTCGAAGCCCGAGGAGTGCATTTCTCTTTCCGCTTGATAAATAGAAGATCTGTAAATGAAACTGAAATAAAGAGTATATTTGCTTATCTAGCGTAACCTGTGTACTCTGTGAATGTTTGGCAGGGGCCACGCATGTTGTTTAAAATGTCAGTCATTTTTTATTTCATTTTTTTTTTATTTTTTATTTTTTTATAAATGTACATCCAAAGGCTACAGTGTGTTATCCCCGAGGATCCAGAGAGGGAGCTGTCAGATACAATATGGCAAGGCTACTGTCAGTTCACAAACACGAATGTACTGTACAAGAAAGCCTGG